GAACATAGGGGTGCATACATTCTTTCTGATTAGTGTTGTGGGTTTCTTAGAATATATTCCTAGAAGTGGGATTACTGGGTCAAATGGCAGTTCTATATTTAATTTTTGAGGAAACTTCATACTGTTTTCCATAATGGCTGCACCAGTCTGTATTCCCACCTGCAATGTGTTAAGGTTTCCTTTTCTCCAAATCCTTGCCAGCAGTTGTCATTTGTTGATGGTAGCTATTCTGACAGGTGTGAGGTGATACCTCATTGTCATTTTAATTTGCATCTTCTGACAATCAGTGACTTTGAGCACTTTCCATATGTGTCTTGGCCATCTGTATGTTCACTTTGGAGAAGTGTCTATGTGGGTTCTTTGTCCGTTTTTAAACATTGAATTGTTTATCATTTAAGTTGTATGAGTTCCTTATATACTTTGGATATTAACCCTTTATCAGGTGTGCCATTGCCAAATATGTTCTCCTATACAGTGGCTCCCTTTTCATTTTGTTGATGGTTTCGTTCACTGTGCTTTTTGTTTATTTTCCCTGTAGTTCCTTTGGCCTAGAACATGTGTTCGTAAATATATGCTTTCATGAGGTGCCCGAGATTTTGCTGCCTATAGTTTCTTCTAGGCTTTTTAGGTTTAATACTTTTATCCATTTTGGGTTTATTCTTGTGTATGGTGTAAGTTGGTGGTCTAGTTTCATTTTTTGCATGTATCTGTCCAATTTTCCTAACACCATTTATGGAAGAGACTGTCTATGCTCCATTGTATATTCTTGGCTCCGTTGTCAAATATTAATTGAGCAAAGTGGGTTGGGTCGATTTACTGGGTTCTCTGTCCTGGTCCATTGATCTATTATATATGCGTGTCCTTGCGTCAGTACCAGGCAGTTTTGAGAACAGTTACTTTGTAGTAAACTTGATACCTGGTATTGTGATCCTCCAACTTTGTTCTTTCTCAAGATTGCTGCTGCTATTCAGTCTTTTTTGATTCCATATAAAATTTTGGAGTTTTTGCTCTAGATCTGTAAAATATGTCATTGGTTTTTCTTTTTTTTAAATATATTTTTATTGATTTTGTACAGAGAGGAATGGAGAGAGAGAGAGAGTTAGAAACATCGATGAGAGAGAGTCATTGATCAGCTGCCTCTTGTTTGCGGGCATATATGCCCGCAACCAAGGTACATGTCCTTAACCGGAATCGAACCCGGGACCCTTCAGTCCCCAAGCCGATGCTCTATCCATTGAGCCAAACCGGTCCCGACTGGTTTTTCATTTTTAAAATACATTTTTATTGATTTCAGAGAGGAAAGGAGAAGGGGAGAGAGAGATAAAGCATTGCTGATGAGAGAGAATCATTGATCAGCTGCCTCCTGCATGCCCCACAGTGGGGATCGAGTCCACAACTCAGGCATGTGCCCTTGAGCAGAATTGAACTAAGGACCTTTTAGTCCACAGGCCAACACTCTATCCATTGAGCCAAACTAGCTAGGACTGTCATTAGTATTTTAATAGGGATTTTATTGAATCTGTAGATTGCTTTGGATAGTGTGGACATCTTAATGATGTTAATTCTACCAATCCATGAGCACGGTAAATTCTTCCATCTGTTTATGTCTTCCTCTATCTTTTTCCCCCCCAACATGTTATACTTTTTTGAGTATAAGTCTTTTACCTACTTGGTTAGGTTTTTTCCCATGTACCTTAATTGTTGTTGCAATGGTAAATAGGATTGTTTAGTTTCTCTTTTGGAGAATTATTGGTGTATAAAAATGCCATCAATTTCTGGGTGCTAATTTTGTATCCTGCTACATTGCTAAATTCATTTATTACACTTAGTGTTTTTGGTTTTCTGTGTACAGTGTCATGCCATCTGTGAATAATGAGAGTTTTACTTCATACATTATAATTTGGATGCCTTTTATTCCTTCTTTTTGTCTGATCACTGTCCGTGGGACTTCCAGTACTATGTTGAGAAAGGGGTGAAAGCAGGAATCCCTTTCTTGTTCCTGTTCTTAGGGGCAATAGTTTTAATTTTTGTCCATTGAGTATGATGCTGGCTGTAGGTTTGTCATATGTGGCCTTCATTATGTCAAAATATGATCCCTCTATTCCCACTTTGTTGAGAGTTTTTATAAAGATTGGTTGTTGGGTTTTGTTGAATGCTTTTTCTGTGTCTATTGATATGACCATGTGATTTTTGTCTTTCAGTTTGTTTATGTGATATATCTTGTTTATTGATTTGGAAATATTGTACAAGCTTTGCATCCCTGAAATAAATCCCTCTTGATTATAGTGTATGATATTTTTAATATATTGCTGGGTCTGATTTGCTAATATTTTGTTGAGGATTTTAGTATCTCTGTTCATCAAGGATATTGGCCTGTAGTTCTTTTTCTTTGTAGTGTCTTTATCTGGTTTTAGAATTAGGATAATGCTGGCCTCATAGAAAGAATTTGGAAGGGTTCCTTCCTCTTGGAATTTTTGGAATAGTTTGAAGAGGATAGGTGTTAGTTGTGATATATTCTTAACAGCTCCCATCTTAAAAAACAAAAACAAAACAAAACAAAAAAACCAGCTAGGCCCTAGCTGGTATGGCTCAATGGATAGAGCATCAGCCTGTGTACTGAGGGTTCAGTTCTGGTCAAGGGCACATGTCCAGATTGCAGGCTCCATCCCCAGGGGGGGTGCGCAGGAAGCAGCCGATCAATGATTTTCTCTCATCGTTGATGTTTCTGCCTCTCCTTCACCCTTCCTCTCTGAAATCAATAAAAATATATTTAAAAAAGTAAAACAATGAGAGCCCCGCTAGTGTGGCTTGGTGGATGAGCATCCACCTGTGAACCAGGTAGTCCCTGTCAGAGCACATGCCTGGGTTGTGGGCTCAATCCCCAGTGTGGGGCGTGCCAGTGATGCTCATCATTAATGGTGATAGGCCACAGATGTGCCCACGATTCCCTGGTAAAACATCACATCTGTCAGCAGTGGGAGGTGTGCGCTCACTCAGTCAGAAACATCACATGAAACATCACGTCTTCCTTCCTCTCTGAAATAAAAATATATATATATTTTAACAAACAAGTAGAAAACCAGCCACCAGTCTGGCCAGTGTGATTCAGTTGCTTGGGTGGTATCCCATGCACTGTGGTGGGGGGAGGCAGAGGCGTGCAAGCAGCAGCTGATCAGTGTTACATTCTCACATCCATGTTTCTCGCTTTTCCCTTCCTCTCCATAAAAATCAGTAAACTGTTCTTTAAAGAACAAAGCAAGCAACCAGCTAACCTTGCTGTACCCCACATTCTTCCCACGTTTCTGCCCCGCTTTTCTGCTCCCCGTAAGAGCTAAGTGTAACAGAGCTGTCCCCACTCCCACGTCTTGCTTATCTTCAGTTTGCTCTTGTCCGTGTGTCCTCCCTTCCTCTCCCCTGAAATGTTCTTCTTGAGGACATCAGGACCTCCGTGCTGTCACATCCCAGTGGACACTCCGCCACCCACTCCACCCTCAGCACTGTCTGTAGTTGGCCACTTCGTGGAGCCTGTGCCTGGTTTTCCTTCTACCGTACTAACCGCTCCTCCTTCGTCTCTTTAGCCACTTGCCTTTGTCTGTACACTGATTCTGCCACGGCGTCCAGTCCTGTCTCCAGTCTCGTCATCTCTGCCCAGTCTGAATGCTGGGGAGCCTCAGAGTGCTTGTTGCTCGAAATGTTAGGACTTTCAACATTGTGCATATGCAAATGACTCCCAGCGTCCTTCCCATTTCAGATTGTGTATCCAGCTGCTACTTAGTGTTTCCACGTGGATGCAGATGGGTGTATTGTACTTAACTCTAAAAGTTGAATATTCAACTATATACACACACACACATGTACACACTCACCCTCAGCCTCCCAGGCTCACTCCCTGTTCCTTCCTGCTCCTCACACTATAGCAAGTGGCCCAGTTGCTCACCCCAGACACATAGGCATCGTCCTTAGTTCTCCCTCTTTGCATGTTAACATTCTGTTTGTTGGCAAGTAAATTCTGCCATTTCTACTTCCAAACAGTCCAGTCATGTCTCTGACTCCGCTGCCCCCTCCTTGTCTCAGCCACCATGACGTCCCCCTGGAATACTGCTATAGCGCCAAGCCCAGCCCCGCTCTTCCTCTCATTCCGCAGTGCAGTCGCCACCATGGAGCCAGGCTGGTCTTGGAAAATAGGTCAGATCATTTCATTCTCTTCTTTAGTATTTTTCTGTTCACTTAGAATAAAATTCCCACATCCAAGGGTGGGGTGTAGTGGCTTTCTGCCTGCCTCTCCAGTTTTCTCTTAGATCCTGGCCCCCTTGCTCCTCACGCTGGGGACAGGCTGGCTTCCTCTCTGTGCTTGAGCCCATCAAGGTCTGTCTCACATCAGGGCCTTTGATAACACTTGTTCCAGCAACCTCTTGGTGCATGGGACCATGTTCGATCCACTGAGCCACAGTTTCCTCACCTTCATACACACTCAGCCTCAGCCTGCCAGGCACATTTCTATTCCTGGAAAACCAGGCAGAGGTATCACAGAAGCCAAGAGAGGGCCATGTTCAATCTATTGGAACTCTCAGATAGCTGGTTCCATTTCATCGGTCACATCCTTTCACAATGTCACCTTCTTTCCTGATCACGGTGTTAAAATTAGTTACTCTTTGTGACTTACTTTGTTTATAGTTGCCACTTTCGTGTACACCCTCAAACAGACTCCCGTCCTCTCAGATGTAGGCTGGGACCTCTTTATTATTGCTGAATCCAAGTTAGCTCAATGTATGGGATTCAGTCCTCACCTATTTGCTAAATGAACAATGGTGGCTTTTATTTCATCCTTTTCTCATGAATTGTATGCACTCAGCGCAGTGGAATGAAATGTTTGTTTTTTCTGTCTAGGTCAAGTGCTTGGGATCTCCTTCTGACTGAGTGAGCGCACACCTCCCATTGCTGACAGACGTGATGTTTTACCGGTTGCTATCGGTGGTCCAAAGACAAAGAACCAGCCGAGGATGGCAGAACTGGTCCTCAGCCAGAAGCGGTGCATCAGCGGCCGAGGCGCATTCTGTCGCCCTGCCTGCCCAGGCGCAGGTGGTCATCTGTGGCGGGGGGATCATGGGCACATCTGTGGCCCAGCTGGGGTGGAAGGACATTGTTCTTTTGGAGCAGGGCAGGTGAGGATCCACTGGGCATGAATTCCCTCCTGTCCTCTCCTCCTCCCTTGGGCGATGCTGTCCCACCACTAGCTAATCAGGGTTGCTAGGGGCATGAGAAGACTCACAGGTGGAAATCCTGCACTGGGTTTGGTTTGTTGATGCCTAGAACTCATGCTTCCTGGTTTTGGAGAGCTGGCAGAGTCCAGCAAACCAAGTCTCTGAAGCCTGTGTTTATTCACGTTCAGAGCACATCTTGCCATCTTTTCTCCTTATACTAGTAGTCAGGCAGCAACACAAACCCTGGGGCCAAGAGTTCCCCCAGGAGTCAGCCTGAAATTGCCTGCATCCTGCTCTATTTGTTTTTGCTTTTCATTTACGTAACTAATTTTGAAAGAGTTTTAGATTTACAGAACAATTGAGAAGATAGGAGGGTCTTCCCATACTTACTCCCAGTTTCACTTGTTATTAACATATTAATGTTACCGTCTCACTAAAGAACCAACATCAACATGTTATTATTAACTATAGTTCATAGTGATTTTGTATATATTTTTAAAAAATATCTTTATTGATTTGAGAGAGGAAGGAAGAGGGAGAGAGAATTAGAAACATCAGTGATGAGAGAGATTCATTGATTGGCTGCCTCTTTCACATCCCACACTGGAGATCAAGCACACAACCAGGGCATGTGACCTGACTGGGAATTGAACCATGATCTTTTGATTCACAGGTCGATGCTCAACCACCAAGCTATGTCAGCCGGGCAATTCAGATTTTTATGAAATTCTTCATTTTACTACTAGTGATCTGTTTCAAGCTTTTCCCTAGAACACATTGGACATTTAAAGGAATTTCTTATTTCTTTCTTTTTTTTTTTTTTTTTAAATATATTTTGTTGATTTTATACAGAGAGGAAGGGAGAGAGAGAGTTAGAAACACCGATGAGAGATTCATCGATCAACTGCCTCTTGCACATCCCCCACCGGAGATATGCCCGCAACCAAAGTACATGCATGCCCTTGACCGGAATCGAACCCAGGACCCCTCAGTCCCCAAGCCGACGCTCTATCCATTGAGCCAGACCGGTCCCGGCATCTTATTTATTTGTTAAAAGGCAATAGATTCACATGAGTCAGAATAGAAAATTCTAGAAGTGTCCAGGGAAAGTTTCTCATCTCTGACCTCTGTCCTCAAGTTTCCCTCGCTGGAGGCAAGTTAAGTTCCTGGTGTATCAATCCATATGCTCTCTCCACATAGAAACAGACATGTGTTCGTCAATATGTACTGGTGTGCATGGGTGTTCATTTATTCCGTTTTATACAAGTGACAATATTCCTTGCTGTTTCTTACCTTGCTTTTCTCAATAGGATTATTCCACATTGTAGCATATAAACTTTCTCATTCCATTTATTTTTTGTTGTTAATCTTCACCTGAGGATATTTTTCCATTGATTTTAGGGAGAGGGGAAGAGAGGGAAAGACAGAAACTTTTATGAGAGAGAGATACATCAATGTTTGCCCCCTGCATCATAGCCCCAGGCCAGGGAGGAGCCTGCAACCAAGGTACCTGCCGTTGACCGCAATCGAACCTGGACCCTTTGGTCTGCAGGCTGACTCTCTATGTACTGAGCCAAACCAGCGAGGGCTCTCATTCTTTTTTTATGGTTGTACAGTATCCCACCATGTAGGTGAACTCCAAAATGTGAAATCAAGTGTCATGTAGGTGTCTCCATCTTTTGATATGGCAGAACAGTGCTATAGTTGGGACTTGAACTGGCTGCATTCAGAGGTATGAGTCCACCTAACCGCCTTTGGGATCCATCTTGCAGGCTGGCTGCTGGCTCTATGAGGTTCTGTGCGGGCATCATAAGCACTGCCAGGCACTTGAGCATCGAGCAGAAGATGGCAGACTATTCAGACTGTACCAGCAGTTAGAGCAAGAAACGGGGATCCAAACAGGTAAGCAGGGCACTGTGTGTGGTCCCATAAGAGTTGGCCTGGTGAGTGGTAATTCAGACCCGAGTTGTACCCTGTTTCCCCGAAAATAAGACAATGTCTTATATTAATTTTTTCTCCCAAAGTTGCGCTAGATCTTATTTTCAGGGGATGTTTTATCTTTCCACGCGCTAGGTCTTATTTTTGGAGGATGTCTTATTTTCGGGGAAACACGGTAGTTTGGGTTCTGCCACTAGTCAGAATATTTTACCTTGGGCAAGTCATTTTGCTTTTGAGCTGTCTTTGTTTCCCTATTTTTGTTTTATTATTTTAAAAAAATGTCCTTGTTGATTTCAGAGAAGAAATGAAAGGGAGAAAAGGAGGGAGCGAGACATAGAAACATCAATGATGAGAGAGAATCATCGATGGGCTGCCTCCTATATGCTCCCTACCAGGTATTGAGCCCACAACCAGGGCATGTGCCCAGACCAGGATTTGAACCTTGACCTCTTGGTTCACGGGTTAACTGATCAACCACTGAGCCATAATGGCCAAGCTTGTTTTTCTATTTTTAAAATGAGATTCAATCATTATTCCAGATCCTTTTCATGCTATAATTCTTGTGACATTAAGGTTTTCCCGGACCATTTCCTGTATGTTTCACTTGTTGAAGGATAGCAAGTGGCAGCATTGGTTTTTTGAGGAGGAGGAGGAGGAAGAATTTAAGTTAGGTGCTTGGAAGTCAAGTCAGAGTTTGACCCATTGAAGTACACCAGTCGCTAGTAAGAGTGTTCCTAACTCTACAGCTTTCTCACGTCTCTCCTTACCTGTGTAATTGGGGGGAAGGACACAGGGGTTGTAAGCCAGCTAGCACTGGAGTGAAGGAACTATCCCAGGAAGAGGAAGACCCATCTACACGCTGGTCTCTTAGATCAGAGGCAGAAAGAATGGCCATCAGTTTGTGTAAGGGGACGGGTTAGTGGAAGCCCAGCCTGGAGCCTGCTCTGGTAGCTGATGAGACTGTGGTGAGCGCACTAGGCATCCTGAGTGGGTAGCCAGGCCCAGTGATGAAATTCCAGACACTTCATATGCCAGGGCCGCTCTTTTGAAGACATTGCACAAAATGAATCGGAGCTCCTTGGAGACTAATCCTGACAGAGGGTGGTAGCTTTGTCTTTTGCCAGCTGCAGTGGCTCTGCCATGTGCTCAGTAGCAGACTATTCAAACAATAGTTTAAGCACAGTGTGGTTTACCTCGCCAGCCCTTTTAGAAATCATGTGACCGCTGACAACATTTTCATTAGGGAAAGGCAGGTTTGAATATTTGATCATAAGTAAGGGTTTATCACATTTCCATTTTCTATATTTCATACTGTCATGAAGTAAACTATAGAGGAAGACTGGTTGTCTGGTAGGTAGGATTGGGAGCCGTGGAGGGAGAGAGATGCCAGGAGAGGATCCAGCGGCCTGGAAGAAAGGGCTGTGTATTCTCAGGCACATGGCAGGGCCAGGACAGGTGAAACAAGTACGCATCCTGGGGTGACGGTGCAGTCACAGCGCTGAGTGGGTGCCCCCTTACACGGTGTGCCCCTGGCGCCTTGTGTCACTGCACTTGGCCAGGCCTCCTGTGAAGGGCAGGACTCTCCAGGGAACGTGGTGAAAGTGCTTCCTGCTGCCGCACAGTCTCTGGCTTTTTTTTACTAGGGAAGATGCTGCTCCAGGCAGGACAGGTGGGAAGCAGTCCCTTTGGTTGGGTTTAATGATGGCAACAAGGTACTTGAGTCAGATATTAACTGGGTTTGAGTCGGAATAAGGTCCACAGAATGGGCCCCCATTCCATTGGGCCAGAGACGATGCCCGGCCTTGCATCCCTCAGGTGGTGGGATTGCACAGGAATAAGGGTTAAAGTGAGGGAGCTTAGCTTGCTTTCTGGATCACCATCTGGAACCCCTATAGGCCCGACTTCTCCTTGGTCCTTGTGGGCAGTGAGGAAGCCAGGTGAGCGAGAAGAGGATCAGACTGTCTCACTCCCGGGTCATTTGCCAGTGGCGCAGGGAAAGGTGATAGGGCCCAGGAGGAGAGATCTCCTGTCCCGCAGCCGTGCAGGTGCCTGCCCTGTCACTCCACTCACGGACTGCTGTTGGGTCATGAAATGAGGAAGTGACACACGTGCCCCTAGGTTTAGGGAAGATGTTATCTGCTTCTCTCCTGAAAACAGTCCATTTACTCGAGATTTTTGTTCACTACCTGCTAATCGGACTCAGCAGATGACTCCCAGTCCTCACCCCGACTGTGATGTTAGTGTTGGCAGTGCTTCAGTCTCAGTGTGACTTTTGTCAAGTGAATGAGGGAGGTAACATAATAGCTTTTATAATCTTTGGAAAGTATTCCATATTGTCCTGGATCTTATAATAAGGGTCATTCTTTTTAAAAAAATATATTTTATTGATTTTTTTACAGAGAAGAAAGGAGAGGGATAGAGAGTCAGGAACATCAATGAGAGAAAAACATTGATCAGCTGCCTCCTGCACAGCTGCCACTGGAGGTGTGCCTGCAACCAAGGTGCGTGCCCTTGACCGGAATCAAACCCAGGACCCTTGAGTCCGCAGGCTGACACTCTGTCCACTGAGCCAAACCGGTCAGGATGAGGGGTCATTTTTTTATAGCTGAAGAAACCTAGATTCAGGTGGATAAGAGTGTAGTTTTTCCAAATCAATGATAATACATTTATAAAAAATTATTTAATGGGTTAAAAGGAATATATATGTGTGTATGTGTGTGTATATGTATATATAGAGAGAGGGGGGGTACTTTGCTATATGTGATCTAGGGTAGTGAGCAGAAAATGACTTTTGAACCCTTTGTCTGAAATTCAGGCTGTGTTAGCCACAAGTCATTGGACTACTCTGCAGACTGTATTTAAACACCCATCTCTGAAATTTCAGTTCTCCAAATAAACATTCGGTGTGCTGACTTAGTACCTTCAGACTTCAGAGGCTCCCCCACACCCCCCCCTTTGGGACTGAGGGCTCCAAGGTTAGTACCCCCTTGTGGCTTAATCCACACTTGGATCATGCCCTGGGTCTGAGTGAATGAGGGGAGGACACCTCAGTCTCCTTGGTGCTGTGCACTTTGAGTGAACTGACTCATGATGTGGGTAGATAGGATGTAAGCTGTCCTATTTGAACTTTTCTCCCTGCCCCTTTTATGATCCCTGGAATCGAATTGTGCACTCAAGTCTTTTTTAAATTTGCCTGCCATTTTTAACCTCCGGAAATCTCATTTACAGTCTCAGGGTGTGGTCCCTAGGAGTGTTTTGTTATTTAAAATGAAAGTTTTGACCTGGCCTTTTCAGTATTTCTTATGAGTTGAGAGTCTGCTGGAGTTGCCTTAATTGTGGACCATCTGAGGAGCAAAGCCCAACCCTTTCTTTACCTTGGACAGGGGTTCAGATCTACGACCGGACAAGTGTTGTTCACGTGATGACCAAAAAAGGTGAAGTGACTGGTGTGGAGACAGATAAAGGACAGATCGAATGCCAGTATTTTGTCAACTGTGCTGGTCAGGTAAGTTAGCAACAATAGCGGGATCTCTGGTTTTCTTATTTACCTTTTATCTCGGGACTTTTTAGTGTAGAGACTTAAGATTATTTAGGGACAAAGTAAACCGATGTCGGGGCACACTGTCCTGTTGGGCTGGAGACTCCCACGGGGAAACCTGCACTGATCCCCTGTGGAGTTTCGGGCCTCCTCCCTCCTCCCAGGTGAACTGGTTTCCCCTCGCTGGACCCTGGAAGCACTTGTGCATTTACAAATACAAAAGACATGAATTTCCCTCCATCTTTAATATATTTTTAAAATACAGGTGTAGGCAAAAGTAGGTTTACAGTTATAATTAAAATCCTATATAATAAAAGGCTAATAGCAAATTGACCAAATGGTCACTGTGACGCACACTGACCACCAGGGGGCAGACCCTCGATGCAGTAGCCGCCCCCTGGAGGTCGGTGTGCTCCCACAGGGTGAGCGTTGCTCAGCCAGAATGCAGCGGCAGTAGCAGGAGCCTCTCCTTCCTCCACGGCCGTCTGACATCCCCCAGGATGAGAGGGCACTGGCCGAATTGAGGGACCCTCAAGTGCACAAATTTCGTGTACCGGGCCTCTAGTAAGTAAGAATAAACTGTGTGTTACATACTCACAAATGTAAACCTACTTTCTTATGAGAAATATCAAACTTACCCATCAGCCAGCTCCACAGTCTGGTGTCGTCTGTGACCACTGCCCACTGGACTGCTCCCAGATGATGGACTCACTTTAAAACAGACTGAGCATCTGTCCTGGCAGCCATGCCAGCTTAGGGGGCTCCCCGAGAGAGCTTTAGCGCTGAGCCCTCTCAGACCCTTATCTGTAACGTGTTAGCTCTCCCACACATCTTCTGTGTCAGTCTGCATGCCAGGCACCTCAGAGGCGTGTTCCATAATCCCAGCAAGGGCTCTGCTCTGATAAACGGCCCCGTTGCTCTTCTGAGAAACCTCTTCCCAGAGATTTTATGAAAGGAGGGGAGGAGTTAGGAAGTGTGAGGAGTTGGAGGTTTGAATTCCCTGAGCTGAGGACTCTGGCTGTTTTTCTTGCTCAGAGCCCCGACCTGGAGACGCTGGAGATTGTGAAGTTGGTCAACTGCCCCGAGACCTTCACGCCAGACATGAGGTGCATCATGGGCGAGTCCCCTTTGGTTAAGGGCTACTACGTCCTGGCAGGAATGAACTCTGCTGGCCTTTCGTTTGGTGGAGGAGCTGGAAGGTAAGTCTTTGTCCTCACACTCAGTTCACTGGGCTGCTTTTTCCTAGAATGACTTGTTAACGAAATAGATGAAATGTATTGTACACCATAGTAAGAAGAAGGTACATGTAATTTGAGAGTATCTCCCTCAAAGCAGTCACTTTGGGAGGCTTTTCCAACATTCCAGAAATGTCACTGTGCAAATTATTTCTGGAACTCCTCTTTTGGAATCAGCCACTAGCCTGTGGGATGTTCTGTGTGTTCTAAAAAATGGTCAATAATGAATCTGGAGATTAAAGGAGGAGGTTTAGAATATAAGATGAGTTGTTATAGTCCTGTTCTCTGTGGATTCCCAGATGAGGCTCCTCAGAGAATAGTTGGATAAACAGATTAAAGTCCGGTGACTAAATTCTGATGGTAGCTGAGTACAGTACAAGATCGCTGGCTGCTTCTCTTCCCAGGGTGTGACATACGAGTGATACATCAAGTGCCAGGTTTCTAGCATGAAGTCAGTTGTAAGGCAGGATGTCGAACCCAGGGACAGGCAGTAACTTGGGAAGGAACGGAGGCTTTCCCTCAGAGCCAGGCCAGCACCGCAGGGAGGGGACGGAACGCCTGTACTATTGCACCTCGGTTTCCACATTCTGTTTTGCATTTGGTAACATAGGAAGCAACAATTTTATGTGTGATGTCTATCTTTTGTGATGGCAAACAGATGAATATTTCAGACATGGCAAGAGTAATTAAAATGTTTGTTTATTCATTTATAAACTTGGTAATATGAAAAGAAAAACAACTTGATAATACCGTGTTCATGGGGGCAGAAAGGCTCGGTCACCCTGTGGGCCTGTGACCAGGGCCCTTGAGAGAGGAACCCATTTGCCTAAGTTCCTCAAATGGCTTCAGGACCACACAGGACCTCATGCTGACGCTGCACAACAAAGGGACAGAGAGGGCTGGGCAGAACGGCACGTTTATAGATGCGGACAATGAGCTGTGGCACTTTACAGTCATTACAGAGGCGCTTTGACACATCGCGAGAGTGGACCGGAGAGGAGGGTGTGAGCTGTGCTGCTGGAGAACCCCTCACCGAGACGGGCTGGGCAGCCTCTCCCCATACCCGCCCGTTCTGGGGAAGGAGGGGTGAGCGGGCGATGAGACCGCAGCCTGAAATGGCGTAACCTTTGCCTCCCTCCTCCTCCCCCCGCTGTGGGACACTCTGGAGTGTAAGGCACGAGAACAGGCGGGAGGAAAGATGTGCTCCAAGCCCCAGTTCTTGGTGTGCAAGGGGATTCCTGGCTTAGAGCTTGCAAAACAGGTGCTAAACATATCCTTCCACCGCTTGTAATTTCTGTCCTTGAGAGACAAACAAGAGAAGGCAGAAAAGGATTGCAAAGGATGAAAATAGCTGCGTCTAAATACCATGGGGAAAATGGCCCATGAGAAATGTGTAATTCTCCAAGGACACTGTTCAGAGAAGCCAAGAATCATATTGTGAAGAAACAACCCTGGTGTGTAATGGACAAAGAGAAGGCAAACACATACAAAAATAGTCCTCTTGGAAAATAGTGCATTTGTTAGTGATGAGGGACTGCACATGTGAGCCCCACTGACGACGAAGGAGCCTTGCAACTCAGCACCTGACAGTGGAGGCGGGGGTGGTGTGGGGGTGCTGACTTATAGAACTACAGCTTACAACTTACAGTTGGATGTCCTAGTTAATTCGGGGAACATCTTACTGTTTCGCCTACCATTTCTTCCACTCAACTGTACTTCTCCTGACCCATGTGCCTAGACATGATGTGAGATGAAAATTTTTTCCTCACAAGAAAATCGCCCCTATATCGTGCTGATAAAATGCTGCTAATGTCAGTCTGTAAGGGACTGGGGTAAGGGGCTATTCTTTAGTAGTAAGCACTGCTGACCAAACCTATGCCTTAGATACTAAGGAGGATCCTTGCTGCCTACACTGCACAGGAGCCAGAGATAAAAATGAACCTGGCAGCTAACCCCTGAAAGCAGGCCAGTGAGCTCTCCTACTGGACACAGCCTTCCAGGTCAGAACCAGGACCACAGGTCGCAGAAGAGCCCCCCTTACCTGCCTCAGGGTCTAAAAGGATGGCGAGGACAGATTTCAGCAAGTGTCGGTGAGTCAGAAATCAGGGCAGCGAGTCGTCTCTGTCACTGTGTTCTACTCCTGCAGAGATGGGATCTTTGGGCCAAAGGGAAGCAGGCTGACCACTGGGCTAAGTGGTCTTTGGCCCTAGCCTGATGGCATTGCCCAGATTTGGGGGTACAGGGACTCCCCAGAAGAGCACGAGCACTGTTGTGGGAGTTGCCCCTTAGTGTCTCCGGAGCATGTCCTACTCCTGCTCCTGCTCATGCAGGTGGGACCACGTCACAAGGTAAAGGGCATCAAGCAGGTACATTTTGTCCCTTTTTCTTAAAACTTTCTGAATTAGACTTCAGTGACACTCACAGATGGGAACCTTTCTGATAACACGCTTTAAGTCGACAACCGTGGCCGTGCCAAGAAACCAGAGGGCCTTAGCTCTCAAGGGAGGAGGAGGCACACGGGAGACTTGCAACCCCGGGGTCTTCCTCTGTTTGAGGCTAACACTCCTGTGTTTTAGGATAAAGTTCCCTCAACGGAATATGCTGACAAGAGAGCAGTGTGCAGAGCCTCTCCCCAAGAGGTTCAGAGGAGAAAAGTGCCAGCCATCTTAAGTCCATCCATCCAGTCCCAGGAGCCCAGAACCCCTGGAATCCCTAGAGAGGTGAGTTGTCACACAAACACTTGGGGCCTCACTGCCCCAGAGATGGAAATAACACAAATTAGGTGTGATGGTCAGTTGTGCTAGAGGTGGGAGTCAGTCAACCCCTTCAGATTTAGGACCAAATGGAGAAAACTACCGAATTCACACTGCCTGCATTTGAACAGAGACTTCAAGGATGGACTGTGAAGTGCCCAAAACTAATGGGTGGTACAGGGCACGCAATAAGCAAGTGACGGCCTCTACTATGGACAGGATGAAATTTATGCGTAACTAGAAAAGGTTATTTTGGAACAGTGCAGAGCGTGTAATACCTGTAAGCCCTCTAGCACGTTTCCATCTTCTTGGGCCAGTCGGCTCCCTGCTGGTTACTCTGCGTTGGCACACCTCTCCTTTCACTCTGTGCCTAGGAGCAACATCTCCTAGCCATTAAATACACATTTGCACCAGAATAGCAAGGCCTTCCAAGCAGTTCTAATCACATGCTCCCTTAATCAGTCAACTAAGACCTCCTAAAAAGGTGGGCACGCGCTGGGAAAATGGCAAGACATGCCTAGAAGCAGGAAGTCTGATGAGGGGGTAAATAGCAGCCAGAGCGGGCTGGCACCTGGAGCACCTTCTTTACTAGTCTTAGAGGCCTAGCAGAGCTAATGCATTTACGATGCCAGTACAACAAAGGCTGCAGTTAGTTACATCTCTAGCAGCAGTTTATACTTTTAAGAAATCAGCTTAGGTGCAAGGGGAAATTAAGAATTAAGTGTTGGGCCCTACCTGGTTTGGCTCAGTGGATAGAGCATCCACCTGTGGACTAAAGGGTCCCAGGTTCAATTACTGTCAAGGGCACATGCCAGGCTCAATCCCCAGGAGGCAGCTGGTCAATGATTCTCTCTCATCATTGATGTTTTTACTCTCTCCCTCTCCATTCCTCTCTGAAATAAAAACATATTTTAAAAAAAGAATTTAGTGTTGGGATGAATAGTATAATCTGATGTCACTCAATTTTCACCCTTAAACGAGAGACACTTTTTAACTGTGCATGACCCTCTTGGAGGCTCCAAGTCACTTTTCTATTTGAGAGGATGTGGAAAGCAATCTGCTAGGCTCACACACACACCCCTCCTCACTCAGCACCCACGTGAGTCAGCTGTGGCTCTGTGCTGTGCCCGAGGAAGCAGAACTTGGCAGTCCAGTCCTCTTGAACTCAGTGTGTGGCTGCCCTACCTTCCTCTCCCTCCTAAGGGGGAGAAATGTTTGCTGAGCTAATGAGTCTACTACCGAAGGGACAGGAAGAGAAAGCGGCACTGTTTGGTGTTGGTACATTCTGAGGTTAAGACCCTTTTGTCTGGAAAAAGCAACATGGTTTTCCCTTTCAAATACTGTGGCTTACTTATTTACTCACCCAAACAAGCAAAGCCCCTCATCACAGAGATTAACAGCGATGAAGAAAATTATAGGTGGTGGCCCTGGCCCTACAGTCGAGAACTAGTTGTTGGGGAGGCTGGGAATAATGCCAGCTTAACTTTATCTCCACAGCCCGCCTGATGCCTCTCATGTGAGGTAGATGGTCTTCTTGCTAGAGGTATCACGGTGCCAACCCACAGCACAGGACCAGGAGCGCAGCCGCCTGGCTGACGGCACGAACGGCCTCAGGACCGTCACAAGCCCACAACAACTCATCACCACGAACAGGCGGCTCTGAGAACACCTGGCGCCACGGAGATGCACTCTGGCCTGCTCACCCCCAGCTCCCTGGCTTCCCGACACAGCATGTGACATCAGCCTGCCACCACACCCACTTCTACAAGTGGGGCTTGCTCCTGTCCCCATGGCAGTCTGAGACGGGTGGACGGATGGGACAAACAGCCCAGACTGAGTGGGAGGAGATGGGAAACTGCAACAGGGAGGAGGAGATGAAAGGACGAGAGGCTGCAAAGCAAAAAGTTTAAAATGATATCACGGAGGTAAGAGATGGAAGCTAAAGGTTAAATCAAGAAGAGGGACGGGGTCAGGACAGAGGCTGAGACGGTGAGACTGCCTGGCATTACTTCCCATGCAAGTCACTTAGCTCCACGTCTTCCTTCCGGCGCTTATGGGTGTAGAGGGAGGCGACCGGGTAGAGCCGGGCCTTGGCCTGGAACCGTTGTCCTGCAATGTCAATCTCGTACTCTCCCCGGTTGACGAAATCTGCTGTCACCACCTGCTCTTCCCCGGTGTTCTCAGAGAAATGGTGCACGAAGCCCAGGCACACGTGGCGCTCCAGGGTGTAGCTGTAGGCACTGCTGGTGGTCTTGCCCGCGTACAGCCCGTTTCGGTAGATGGGCTCTCCCCACCACGGCCAGAGGTCCAGGTCTGTGTCGTGGTCGTCCAGGACGAACATAGCCAGGCGTTTGTACACTCCGTTCTGCCTCTGCTGCAGCAGGGCCTCGCGACCGATGAAGTCCACCCCCTGGGGAGAAAGGCAACACTGAGCCACCTCACTAGCAGCACCGAGGAGGGGCCCCGGGGTCACTGGTGGAGGGCAGCGCTTCCCCACCCCAGCGCAGGCTTTGGGGACGTGTCTGCCCACCCTGTGAAAAACTGCATTCACCACAGAAGACGCCTTCAGAGAATTTTTGTAACAACAAAGGTACCCATGTTTCTGTTTTCTATTTTATAAACACTGGTTTTAACAAGACGACATAAAATATTTAGGAAGAAAAATCAATATTCCAAAAACACTTGCTAGAATATTTTAGGAAAAAACAGCATTTTTATATAACATAATCCCAACAAAAAGTCCGTGTATATATATCTGTATTCAATGCATACATGTTTATATATGCATAGGTACAAAAACGAGCAGGATAAAATAAAGTATGAATGACTTTAATTTTCTTGATATATTCTATTTTCTACAATGAATATTCATTTTATATCAGAAAAAAATTGTTATCTATAATTTCTTAAAAAGAATACTGTAGATCTATCCTGGTAGGGAATGACTTAATATAGCAAAGATGTAGTATCCAACCATCTAGGTTAGAAAAGTGGCCAGGGGCCCTACCCGGTTTTGCTCAGTAGATAGAACATCAGCCTTTGGACTGAAGGGTCCCGGGTTTGATTCTGATCAAGGGCACGTACCTCAGTTGCAGGCTCCTCCCTGGTCAGGATTCGTGCAGGAGGCAACCAATCAATGTGCTTCTCACACATCAGTGTTTCTCTCTGTCTTTCCCTCTCTCTTCCATGCTCACAAAATATCAATGGAAAAATATCCTCGGGTGAGGATTAAAAATAAAAAAGGGAAAAAGTGGCGGAGCACACCAGTACCACTCCCTTCCTCAACCCCCGTCCCCGGCACATGGCCCCTCACCTCTAAGGGACTCCATGAGACGTGCAACCAAGGGAGCAACAGGCAGCGGCAGCTCATTCTGGGCTGAGGCCCCCTATTCTCTGATTTCCCAGTGAGCGAAGGCAGCCCAGACTCTCCTGTTACTTCTATGCCCTTGTTTCACCCTCCTATTTTATTTCCCCCCTCCCCCTGTGGTCAATAAACACTCATCGGTTCAAAACACACAAATTCTAAGAGACAAGAAACTGATAAAGGTGGCAGTGAGGCAGGTGGGGTTCAGAGTTGGAGAACATTCTCTTCAGTATTGACTTTTACAAATCATGTTCATTAAATACTTTGAAAAGAAACCAAAAATTAGGCAGTTGAATGGAAGGTAACTAATTTGTACAAATAATCATGGCATGTTCATGTGTCACTACATTCTACTCAGAAAAACTTCCCCAGAAAGCACTCAGTCTAAAAGAGAACAAAGTGCTGAAAACTGGTGCTGTTGGTTTCTTGTTCTCATATTAGGATGTTTTATATCCCATAGATATACTAATCATTCTAAGGACATCCTAATCATCACAGTTCACTGATGCTATCTTCAATGTCTCAGGATTCCACCCTTTCCTTCCACATCAGCCGCTGCCTGCTCTAACACAGATCCCTGCACGGCCAGGTGAGTGACAGGAGTGCGCACAGTACCTTATCTAATTTCACCCGAGACTCTCGTCCACATTCCAGGGGGGTGGTGAGGGTATTCAAATCCTGACCCCAGAAGGCAAAAAACTTCTCAATTCGGAGACTACGAAGAGCATAATACCCAGCATTCCGGATTCCGTATTTCTGCCCAACACTCATCACTTCATTGTAGACATGCAGAGCATACTAGAGGGAAAGATGAAAGGGCAGTAAGCAGCAGATCTTCAGATTTCAACCTGGAGTGTCTGCCGTGCCTGATGGCTGACACTGTTAATCTGGAGGGTGAGGGGTTTGTATAAAATTCTCAGGATGTCTCTCCAACAAACCAAAGTGCTACAGCCCAGGAGTAAGGAGCCAGGGTCACCCTTAATGCAGACGTAAGCTCCAGAAAGCAACATTCATTACTAAGCTATGAGAGAGGGTAAAGTACTTACAGACATTAAAATATGCAATAATGAATGAATGAAACTGTAATCCTGGATCTGAATAGACCGACAGAACAGAGTAAAAGTCCAGAAATAAACACAAATGCACTTAATCTCTGACGAAGGTAGAATCTCAAATCAACTGGTTATCCAGGTGGAAAATTACAGTTTAAGCTATATCTCATAAAGTGCACCAAGAGTCACTGTGAGGGGATGGAGCATTTAACTATAAAAGAAACCACAAACCCGTAAATGGCAACTAACATAAAGGCACTAGAAGGAAAATGGAACAACTGTAGCCCGGAGTGGGGAAGCCCCTTCCACAAAGACTAATCAATCTAACTATATAAAAATAGAATTTCTGCAATAGATGAAACATTTTCCATAATAAAAAGTAAATTTTTAAAAATCCTTCTTACAAAAACAAGTCAAAAGACAAATGGCAAATTGGCAAAAAAAAAATTTACAGCTCTACAGCAAAGACTGTTAGATTCAGAGAATGCCAAGAAACTGGTAAAAGTACCAATAATTCAATACAAAAATGGACAAAGGATAGGACCAGAACATTTATTCAAACAGCATTCTTTATATGCCAAGTATCTCGCCAAAGTGCTGAGAATATGAAACTTAAAAAGACAAATATGCCTGCCCTTAGGAAACTTACATTTAAACAGGTAATCCAATGAATAAAAGAAAATAATATGTAATATATTTTATTATGTAGAAAACTAAATCAGGAAAGGGAGAACTGGGGTTGAGGGTGGGGTTACAACTTTATTTTTTGTTTTTATTGATTTCAGAGAGAAAGGGAGAGAGAATCATCAATCATGAGAGAATCGCTGACTGACTGCCTCCTGCACACCCACAGTGGGGATCGAGCCCATGATCCGGGAAAGTGCCTACTGGGAATTGAACTGTGACCCCCTGGTTCATAAATTGACATTTAACCACTGACCCATGCCAGCAGGCTTGGGATTGGAACTTTAAATAAGGTCTCATCAAGAAGGTGGCATGTGAATCTGACCTGAAGCAGTATGGCCAAATGGTTGGGAGTATGTATGATAGAAGGGGCACCACAGGAAGGAGAACAGCAAGTCAAGGCCCTGAGGCAGGAGCAAGCTGGCATGTTCAGAGACTAGCAGGGAAGGAGGGAAGGAAGTAGAGAGGTAGAGAAGACTCGTTGCATAAGATCAGAAAAGAACAAGTGGAAAATGGGCAGGCAGAACTATGCAGGCCCTGCAGGTGGGTGGGCTTTTATTTAGAGATGGTTTTGAAAAGTTGCTCAGTCTCTCTCTCTCTCTCTCTCTCTCTCTCACACACACACAAACACACACAAAACTAAAGCTGCACTGACCTACTGCTTTGCACCTATCAGCCTAAAGTTTGACACCTCCGTGTGTTGGCACACTCTTGTACACTGCCAAATTTTTTATAATAGTAAAAGAACTAGAAACACCATAAATGTCTATTAGTACCAGGCTGGTTAAATAAATGATTCAACTATAGCATGGAATAATATGCCACTAGGAAAAAAGAAAGGAAAAAAGAAAGAGGAAGCTCTCTCTAAATACTCATAGGAAAAAGATCTCTCTGATAAACTGTTAAGAAAAACAAAATAAATGCCCAGCTGGCATGCCTCAGTGGTTGAGCACTGACTTAGGAGCCCGGAGGTCACGGTTTGATTCATGGTCAGGGCACATGCCGGGTTGTGGCTGGATCCCCAATGTGGAGCATGAAGGAGGCAGCCGATCGGTGATTCTCATCACTAATGTTTCTAACTCTCTCCCTTTCTCTCTGAAAACAATAACACTTAAAAAAAAAAAAAAGATGAACAACAATATGCTTCTGTGAGTCTAAAGAGGGTTAAAATGTCTTTGAACTTCCATATTCACAAAAATTCTGATATGACAAAAAAATTAAGATCACATAGTAGAAACAGGTCAAATGGAAATGAATATTTTGGTTTAGGGTTTTTTAAAACCATGTGAACATATCTATTTAAAAAAAAAAAAAAAAGTAAATACTTTAGTTAAACATGCTAAAATGTCTTTAACCCAGGCACAACAGGCTCTACCCCTGCCAGTGCTCAGCGGTGTGGGACCAGCACACCGTCCTTGCTTCTCACCTCTATGGGGATGTACAGCATGAAGCCTGGCTCTCCCGTGTGGGTCATGCTCATCACCCGGATCCCGTTGGCATAGCCCACACTCATCTCCTGTGGAAGCAAAGGGACACAGCGTCAGAACTCCAAGGGAAGTGGGTGGTGCCTGAGGCAAACCCCTCTCCTTGGCTGGGCACCCTCTGACCCTAAAAGAGACATGTGAATGGAGGAATTTCATCCTCAGAATGATCTGTTTTCAGGTCGTTAGGAATGGAACAAAGCCTTTACAATATCCTCTCTCTGAATATCAGGAGTGCTAGCCAAGCTGCTGATGGGAAAAGGAGGCAAAGTCTTTGATAAAATAGGAAATAGTACTTTTTGCAAAGTCCTGCTAAAGATTTGTCTTTATGGAGCAATGAAGACCAGGAGTCTCCTCCAGGGCACTCGGCAGACAGTCCTAGGCACCTGCCCTCAAAAGAATGCTGGTGCCGAGAACACGGTTCACCTGCTATCCTGGGGTCTGATGTTCAAAACGTGTTCATACCTCTGTCTCAATTCCTGTTCCTGTGAAGGAAAGTGCTTGTCCCAGGTGGCACTAAAGCGAACTTTCCACAGGAAGTCCGGCCTCACATGGTGCTCTGCAGGCACACACGATGGATCAATCATCAAGAAGCAAAGACAACCCTAGCTGGTTTTGCTCAATGGGTAGAGCATCAGCCTGTAGACTGAAGGTTCTGGGTTCAATTCTGGTCAAGGGCACAGGTCAGGGTTGCTGGCTCAATCCCCAGTGCAGGGGCATGCAGAAGGCAGCTGATCAGTCATTCTCATCATTGATGTTTCTATCAACCTCTCCCTTCCTTTCTGAAATCAATAAAAATTTAAAAAAGCAAAGACACTGAAGGAGTTGGTATTGGCTAACAGTGAGTTTTCTGTGGCTTTCACTCTGCCACAGAGGAAAAGGAAAACTAAAATCAATTAGTAGGTGGATCTCAATTTTGGTTTGAACATCAAACAGCCTCCTTTGATAACTGTCCCCAACCTGCTTGTTACAGGTTGACCAAAACATTTCTCCATTTGGACCTCAAATCAACCACTTCGAGAGGACGCAGTTATTTCTTTTTTGTTCAGTTACAATTTGTTTCACTCGGCTATAGTTGCCAAGTATAAGAAAGAATCTTATGTAAGTTGGTTAGGAATCCACCTACACCACTTATTACCTGAAGATGCCACATACACAGAAGCTGCTCTGCCTCTGGGCATGGGGGAAAGAGAGGAGCTGCTGGAGAGAAGGGACCTGACCCTGACTGGCGTTTTATAATCCTGTAACGTAGAATCTGCTGTTACAGAAAGCAATGAATGTATAGAACTGATATTCAGAGAAGTTAAATCCACCTCAAATATATCCTAATGCTTATTAAATAAGGAGACCTTGAAGGGTGGAAAATAAGTGAATTTATTCTGTCATTTTATTAATAAATCAATACATTTTGTGGGTATTACTGCCATAGTAAGAACATGCAATTGTTAAAAAGATATTCCCTGCCCATTCAAAAACTAGAATCTTACTGCACTCACCTTGCAAAAGAGGCTTGGGAAGTGGTCTGGAGTTATCGGGGCATAGGACAACTCGGACAGCACATCCACAGCTCGAGGACCAATCAGATTGAGGGCTAAACAGAAAGAACAAGGATGTCTGGCCGCTCCAGGGAAACAGCTGAGCCAATGGGAAAGGTCTGTTGTGGGCTTGCTCACCTATAACCAGGCCTGGGTGGCAAGACCACAAGAGCATCCCTTTGTTTAGGCGGTCCTAGGGCACCCGATTCTGACAGATACACCTCTCCCGACAGGCCTGCTGACTGCAGCTGCTGACTGCTGGCATAAGAACTAACTAGTGTTTCCTTTCCCTAAGGACACGCATGGGAAGGCAACATTCCATAGCCGCCTCTGCAGTCAGATGGGAGCATGAGACCAAGTCCTGGCCAATGAGACAGGAGCCCACCTCTAGGCCTGGACATACTCTCCTGCATACTTGCCATTCCCTTCATCTCCCCAGTGTGGCTACAGGATGGAAAAGCCCCACTCCCAAATCAGGACCCGGAGAGCTGCCCAATCACTCTGGATCTGTCAGCTTGTGACAGCAGCCTGTACTAAGTACACTTTAACTATCTTCTTTCTGCCACAAAACAACTCTGGTTCAATAAGATTCTGTGGTTTGCCAATCTGGTAGCAAGAGTTTGTAATGTTTGCTGCTGAATTGAGAATGAGGGCCTGCTGGAATGGAAGGAGGAGTGGTAGGTTGAGTGGGGGGAGGGAGGCGTTACACCTGAATGGGGGGGCTGGCATTAGAGGATGGCTGCTCCCCTGAGGGAACCACTGACAGTCAGGAAATTAAGTCGCCCTTAACAGTCATTCACTCACTGCCCACCTATGAAGCGTCGACCTATGAATCGGGAAGTCAGGGTTCAATTTCCAGTCAGGGCACATGCCTGGGTTTGGGGCTCAATCCCCAGTAGGGGGCATGCAAGAGGCAGCCGATCAAAGATATTCTCTCCCCCTCTCCCTCAATCTGAAATCAATAAAAACATATTTTTAAAAATTATTCACTCATTAAAAAAAAGCTAAGGAAAATTTTTGAGGAAAATAATACTTAGATAATAAATATAAAAATGCTTTAAAATTACTTAATCTAGAAAACTAGAGAAAATAAAAATTATTTACTCATTCACTCAACAAATATTCACACTCCTAACAAGCTGGCTGCAGGGGACATAGCGGTGAACAAAACAGTAACTGAAGAACTCATTCCACATTTCCCTTAAAAGACTCGGGAAGTACCAGAGACCAATTTTCTGTAACCACGAGCCTCTGCCACGCTCCTAGTCCTGACAGATCTGGGTGAGCTCCCCCGGGCCCGGAGAGAAGTACCCGTGTATTTCCAGGTAACGTCCTCCAGGATCAGGTCGCTGTCCAGCCGCATGTGCTTCTTAAGCCAGGCCCAACAGTGGACCTGCTGGTCGGTTGGAGAAATCATGAAGAAACTGAAAGTGAGACCCACAAGCAATCAAAACCAGGCAGCAGAGAAGAGGATCGGGAAGCAATCAAGTTCTGAGCTGGTGTCAAAGCAGTGGGTAGAATACTGGCCAATGAGCTCGTAGCCTTCAGAGGGCCAGGAGCATGGAACCTGAGGGGACATCATGTAAGGACAAGCAGAAGACTGACTTCTGTCACTCTACAGACCTACAAATACAAGACAAGACGTCTTCTCCCAGTAGGATAACTAATTTTTCACATCCAGTTTTGCATAATCTGGTGACTTTTTTTTTCTTTCTGGTGACTTTTTTTTTTTTCTTTCTGGTGACTTTTTTTTTTTTTTTTTTTTGTACTGGACTGCTAATGGACTGGCCATGAGGCAGTGAGGTGGTTCTGTCCTTGGTATGACTCAGGGCTCCTGGGGAAGCTGGTGCTCTGCTCTGTCACAGAACCCCGGGACCAGTGCCGGAGGGAGCCAGCGCGGCAGCTGACCTCACCTGCGCTTGTTCAGGCGCGCTATGCTGCAGTCATTCTCATATCCTCCGCCCTCGTTGAGCATGCCGGTATGCACGATGTGGCCCACGGGCACGTCAAGGTCATTGGAGAAGAGGTACTGCAGGGTTTCTAATGCCTGATCTCCGGTGGACTGCAGAGTTGAGACACAAAGCAGAGAAAGCACAAGAACATCTGGCTGGTAACACGGCCTCATGAGCAATGTGATTTGCTACAAAAATTCACTGCAATAATATTTTCAGATTTACATCACTATAAGAAGCACCAGAGAAAGCTAGCTGTTAGTTCAAATGATAAATAGGTCTCTGTAAGCAGATTAAAAACCAGAAACAAAGAGCTAAGAATTCAGAAAAATGTTGTAATGAAGATATGATATTAAAATATACCAGAGTTCTTACAGAATCCATTTTAAAGAGAGAGAGGAAAAAAGGAGGCACCGTCTCCTAATCTGTTATATTGATTTCCAATTACTTACTGTTATTTCAAACTTCGTGAAAGAGGACATGTCAATGACACACACGGCTTCCTTACAGCACTTGACTTCAGACTCCACAATGTCAAACCAGTCCGGCTTATAGAAAGTCTTGCTCTGCTCCAAAGCCAGGAGGTCTGCGGACCAGAAAAACAAAGGAAGACTTACATTGGGGAGTCTCCTGTATAGTTAGGTTTTATTATTTATTCTCCCAGGAACACATTCTAACTATATATGTTTAAAAATAAAAATAAACTGTATTAATTCTCAAGAGCAAAAAAAGTGAACAAAAATGAGAACGAGCCTCTTTACCCTTGCCTGGTGGCACAAAGTACTTGGGCCTCTCGAACCCATGCTTCTCCATCCACCGGGCTCCTTGTGCGTCCAGCCGGTCGTACAGAGGGGATGTGCGTAGCTGCCTCCCGGTCTGGAAGTCCCAACGAGGAACCTTCAAATCATACAGCAGAGCTGGAACCGAGGAGAGCAGTCCATGAGAGCCCACGCCAGGGAGCTGATGCACACGACCCACTAGACTCTGAGCTGCTCCCATTCAAAAGAGCTCTTTCCAGGCTAACAGCATAACCTGCCATACGGCGCCCAGCGTAACAAGCATGTTCCAGGAGAAAGAAAAGCTATCAAGAGCTGGTGTCACCCCTTCAGGTATATAGCTGTGAGGCACATGACAACTCTACATCCCTGTTCGCAATTATGGTTCCAAATCCGTAAGTAGATCTAAACTTTGTTAGCTCTGTAGGAGAGAGGAAGGAGATATGGAAGGTCACAAGTGGTTACAAGTGTGAAAAAATGGCACATGATTCTTTACAGTGCCTGTGCTGTTGGGATCTCAGGCCCATTACAGACATTTCCTCTGTAATGCTGACCCATGTCTGAAGTGAAAGGTCACAGCATACCTCATTTGGTAGCTCTGAAACCTGACGGCTTCCACAGTACTGTCCCAGTGACATCAATCACATAACAAGTTAGGGTCAGGATTCAGTTCTCCTAATGTCCAGTCTGCAACAGCAATGAGTAAAAATAGCCAGAAAGAGTGTGTGACCTCTAGTCCCTTCCAAAGAGAAGACCTGTCCTCACACCATTCCACAGAGGAGGGACCTTGGGGTAGTGGAGGAGGTTAGGAAACTAAAAATCAGGAAACTAAAACCCTGGTTTTCTTATATTGTGACAACTTGTCCGTCTCTGGTATTTTAGGTTCTATCATGCCTACAATTTCTATTTTATGAGAATTAGAAAATGCCATCTAACATGTCAGGTCATCAAGGAGAAAGTCAAGCTGTTATGATTTGCATATGTTCTAAAGTAACTATGGATGGGGAAATCTGGAATTAGGGTAGTTCAACATTTTAACCAAAATATTTGCTAAAAAGAAGGAAGCTTAGCAATCACACATATTGCTACGAGTCCCAAATTTCCCCCAGATATGAATTCTCTGCCATAAGGCATACAGGAAGTTAAAGGTCAGCAAATGCTCACCACCAGCTACTGAACCAGCAGTTCATTCTTTTAAAAAAAGTTTTTACTGATTTTAGATAGAAGTAAAAAGGAGAAACCACAAAAGAAACATTGATGTGAAAGAGAAACATTGATCAGCTGCCTCCTGCATGCCCCCTACTGGGGATCAAACCCACAACACAGGCACATGCCCTGACCCTTAATCAAACTGGCAACCTTCTGGTGCACAGGACAATGCTCAACCAACTGAACCACACTGGGCCAGGGTGAGCAGCTCATTCTTAATCAAGAATAGTGATCACAGCCAATGTAGAAACTTAGTCATGAGCATAAATTTGCCCAAAATATCCCAAAAATATCTGTCTGTCTGCCTAAAAGCCTCTGTTTACCTAAAAGCTTAAGCAACCTGCTGACCAGCTGACTGGCAAATAGCTATGACGCACAATGACCACCAGGGGGCAGCCGCTCCACACATACTAGCATGGAAACATGGAACAGTCTGATGAATCTCGGAAGGGGTAAGAGGAAAGGACAGGAAGTGATTAACCAAAGATCTTATATGCATACTAGGCCCAGTACAGGTCCCTGGGCCTGGCCTGCGGGGATTAGGCCAAAATTGACTCTCTGACCTCCCCGAGAGGTCCCAGATTGCAAGAGGGCACAGGCCAGGCCGAGGGACCACAACTGTGCACAAATTGGGACTCTAGTTTAGACATATTTTGGCAAAGTCTATAAATAGTTCCCCAGTGTAAAAAAAAATGAAATTACAACCTGATTTGATTTAATTCCAAAATAAAAGTTAGAAAACAAATGCAAGACAAGGAAGAGTACCTAGTTAAGTTAAAATGAAGATCTGGATCCTTCAAAGTTGGAGGGAAACAAGAACAAGGAGAAAAGGCAGAGACAAGACTTGTATGCACATGAGAAGTGGTTTTATATCTTGCCAGATTATCAGGGTTAATGACAGAAGTCACTCAGAGAAGCTTGAAGCTTTGAGAGTAAGTTGGCAAGTTCGCTGCATTGGAAAGCAAATGGTGATCCCAAAGACCAATGGGGAGCCAGAGCACTCACTGTGACGTCGGCTTTCCAGACACAGTGGGAAGCAGGCAGTGCTGGGAACACACCAGAAGATGCTGCCTGAGTCTGGCAGGAATTACATCTGAAAGTCAGTGCACTGTCCTGACCCATGAAGTAAACAAGTACAAGATGCAAGAGAGAGCATTCTGCAAACATCACAGGGACACCATGTCCCCGACACAAGCCTGAAACAGTTAAACACCACAAGCTCAGCTTGAAGCGATTACTGAAGAACGGAGGAAAACCTGCCCTCTGAATGACAGAACAGGCGCCAAAGAAGACACCTGCACGCAGGAGCGCCAGGACGAAGCTCCACTTACGCATGACTTCCATGACCCGGTGGCGCAGAAAGGTGCGGCTGCTCTGCAGGGCTCCGAAGCGCTTCAGGTCCAGCTCCCAGACGTTTTCTGAGGGGTAACCATCCACCATCCACTCGGCGAGGTACCTATTGGGGGGTGAGGGAGACACTAGTAGTTGGGACTCAGATGTGATACTCTCAACACTGTATCAGGAATCAAGAACCAACACGATCAAAGATCCTGTCTTGTCAGAGACTGGGTGAGCAATTCTGGGCAATTTCCTTAACTTTTTGGAAGAAACAAACATGGATCCATCTCCTGCGCTCACAAAACCACGATGAGGATTTTAGCTCTAATGATAGGATTCCCCAGAAAGTGTTTAAGATGCGGACGCATCTAGGAAAAAATAAGACTAAGAGGTATACAAATGCACTCTAATTTATACATCCATGTATTTTTGTAAAACAGTCTCTATAAAACAGGAGGTTATAGTTATCTGAACACATTCCCTCTGCTCCACAGGTTTTTTGTAACTCCATTTCCATAACTGTTTTCAGAGCCATTCTACAATCATTCAAGAAAAATGGCCTCATTAATTTTTTTAAAAGTTTTAAAATTGTGAATACACATAGCATAAGCTGACCATCTTAACCACTTTCAAGTGTATAGTTCAGTGGCATCCGACATTCACATTATTGTGTAACCTTCACCACCTTTCATCTTCCCAAACTATTAAGCAATCACTCTCCATTCCATACCCCAGCCCCTAGCAACTAGCATTTTACTATCTGTGCCATCCGTTATGAATTAGACTGCCTTGCAGAGTGAACCACACAATATCTGTCCTTTCATGACCAGCTTGTTAAATGTTTATTATTACCAATTAAATAAAAACTAGTGGTAATCAGCATGATCATCTATCTCACTCACCACACTTGCATGTTCCCAAATTTAAATATACAAAGGACCCACATTTGTTACAGCTGAAAGAGTAACAAGTATACACAAGTATATCCATCCCACAGGCTTAGTGACTAACTCCAAACCAGGGGTTCCAAAAACATTTTGCACATTTCAGGAACATCAGGAGAGCTTTCCATGTTAATTACTTTGAAAGGACTTTAAAATTACATGTATCTTCCTATAATAACATACCAGGTTAAATATATTATTTGAAATTTAACAAGTCATTCTAGAAAGAAAGAAGCCCAGTGAACTGAGCGTGAGGACAAAGACTTACCTTCCAGCTCCTCCACCAAACGAAAGGCCAGCAGAGTTCATTCCTGCCAGGACGTAGTAGCCCTTAACCAAAGGAGACTCGCCCATGATGCACCTCATGTCGGGCGTGAAGGTCTCGGGGCAGTTGACCAACTTCACAATCTCCAGCGTCTCCAGGTCTGGCATCCTACGCAGGAGGGAGCTCAACAGGGGCTCTGAGCAAGAAAAACAGCCAGACAAAGTCCTCAGCTCAGGAAATTCAAACCTCCAACTCCTTACACTTCCTAACTCCTCCCCTCCTTTCATAAAATCTCTGGGAAGAGGTTTCTCAGAAGAGCAACGGGGCCGTTTATCAGAGCAGAGCCCTTGCTGGGATTATGGAACACGCCTCCGAGGTGCCTGGCATGCAGACTGACACAGAAGATGTGTGGGAGAGCAAACACGTTACAGATAAGGGTCTGAGAGGGCTTGGCGCTAAAGCTCTCTCAGGGAGCCCGAGGGAGATGCCGTGAAGGGCAGGCCCCCTAAGCTGGCATGGCTGCCAGGACAGATGCTCAGTCTGTTTTAAAGTGAGTCCATCATCTGGGAGCAGTCCAGTGGGCAGTGGTCACAGACGACACCAGACTGTGGAGCTGGTTGGTAGGTACATAGGGTTTGACATTTTCTACCATAAAAAGTTTACCTTAAAAAAATCCATTAAGGCTAGGAAAGAAACTTCATTATAGACCTTTTTCTTTTTTTTCTTTTTTTTAAAATATATTTTATTGATTTTTCACAGAGAGGAAGAGAGAGGGATAGAGTTAGAAACATCGATGAGAGAGAATCATCGATCAGCTGCCTCTTGCACACCCCCTACTGGGGATGTGCCCGCAACCAAGGAACATGCCCTTGCCCGGAATCGAACCTGGGACCCTTCAGTCCGCAGGCTGACGCTCTATCCACTGAACCAAACCGGTCCCGGTCATTATAGACCTTTTTCATATCTTTTATATTTGGAATATATGTGAATATATTAACTATTCAATAAATAAAAAGTATTTTAAAATTGAGTAACAGACATTAACAAAATAATTCTGCTTTCTAAAAATGTCTTTACTCTTTTATGAAATCCTAAGAAAAGGTTTCCTCCTAGCTTAAATTTCAGCAGTAATTTTAGGTGAATAGTAGTAAGCTAAAAGTCCACTAACCAAGAATAGTCTCCTGAATCTGCTACCAAGTAACTGTCCTGAGACCCAGCAAACTCTAACCTCCAAATGGGGCTGTTACAAAGACCAAGTGAGATGCTGTTCTTGAAAATGCTTTTAAAAATGTAACATTTTAGGTAAGTTCAGGACATTATTACTACTACTGAAGGCCCAGTGCATAAAATTCGAGCGGGGGGGGGGGGGGGGGGGGGGGGGGAGGCAGGGTGTGTGTGTGTGTGTGTGTGTGTGTGTGTGTGTGTCCCTCAGCATGGCCTGCACCCTCTTGCGATATGGGACCCTTAGGGGATGTCCAACTGCCAGGACTGCTAGCCTGCCTGCCTGCCTGATCACCCCTAACCGCCTCTGCCTTGGCCCAGAAGGTTGTTTGACTGTCTGGTCTAATAATCAATATTACGCTTTTATTATTATACAGTTCACACACCAAAGTGGTCCCAGTCTTCCTGTAGGTTGTGAATCTCTAGCTGGTTCTTGCCCTCGGTGAAAATTGGTTTTGGGGTTTTCTCAAACCCCCCAGACAAGATGCCGCCCTGCCAGTTGCGAATATAAATTCTGCCATCGGCGTCCACAATGTCTGAGGAGAGAAACAATAGGGAGTGGGGAGTGGAAGAGAAGAGCAGGGGTTAGATGTAAGCCAGTTTTCTAAATAGACAGAAAAAAAGCAAAGCAGAAACACCCGCTCGCTGTTGGCTTTGTTAATGGAACAGCATCTCATAGCACATCAGCTTTAAATACCTTTCCAGGCCATCCAGGAGGTTTCCCCTCGCAGATTCACCATGGAGACTTTCTCTGATTACCCTTTACCCAATCAGTTACGTAGAAGCTTTGACTAGTCCTCACAGCCAAACTATGTTAATTGCCACTGCGCCACCTAAAGCCTAAGGAAAGGGGGCGCTGCCGAACCCACTGCAGGGATTCAGACCTTCGGAGTGAGATCAGCCCTCTCCACAGCACTTGGGGTCACTGAATAGCCTGAGTTTATAGCATTCAAGTAAAAAACTCCAGGTTATATTCCAAATATTGTCAACTTAGACCTCTGTCTGGGAGCACAATTAGCAGAAAACCTGCTTCAGTAGAATGCCCGTTTGGCATCCTTTCATAAAGAATTCTTAAAGAAAAGTCAGAACTGGGCCACCTCCCTGGACCATGCTTTAGGGAAGAAAAGGCTCTTTCGGACGCAGTCTGTCCTTCGCAGAGAGTCTTCCTTCGGAGGACAGAACAGTGGCAAGGAAACAAGATTAAAAACAAAGTGCAGGTCCTCACTTGGTGTGTTGCTCTGCAGAGGGGTCTCCAAGGGGCGAGTCAGGAGGTAGAAGTGTTCGCAGGCATGTAACGGGATGCTAATCGGCTCCTCGTTGGACAGACCCAGCTCGTATGCCCACTACAAATGGACAGATTGATTTGTGGGTGGAAGAGGAACAGAAAGACAAATGAGCAAGTTCAGCCACTTGAAGAGAGTTAAATTTCAAGTGGCCTGGGAGTGCTCTTGCAACAATGTCAGCGGTGGGAAGCCAAGATTCAGCCCGCTTTCGTTTCATTATCTGGATGGGGAACAACACGATATTTTAAGTAATAAACTTACTTTTAGATCAAAAGAAGACAGATTTCCCCATAGTAAAAGGAGCTCATGGGGAGCAAAGGAGGCCTTCTAATGTACCATCATAAATGAGCTTACAGAACAGGAAGTATCCCTACATCACCTTAAGCTGTAGAGTGGACAGAAAGGACCAATTTGTCTTCTAAGCACAAGCAGCTCAGAGATCTGGAAACTGAATCTATGCTCCTGACACAATCGTACAGCCTAGTACTTTACCTGCTAGGTTGTAGAAGGAAACAAATCACCACAGGAAGATTCAATGCCAGGGACTTACGTCAAGGCGCAAGTGCTTCCAGGCCCGGGCAGGGAGCACAGTTCACCAGGGAGGAGGGAAGGAGGCACTGCAGCTCCACAGGGGAGCAGTGCAGGTTTCTGAGTTCAAGCACAAGAGCCCTGAGTTCCAGCCCTCATTGTGCTCCCTGCATCTCTTTGTCACTAAATAATCTTAAGTCTCTACACCAAAAAGTCTTGGAGATAAAAGGTAAATAAGAAAACCAGAGATCCCGCTATTGTTGCTAACTTACCTGACCAGCACAGTTGACAAAATACTGGCATTCGATCTGTCCTTTATCTGTCTCCACACCAGTCACTTCACCTTTTTTGGTCATCACGTGAACAACACTTGTCCGGTCATAGATCTGAACACCTGTCCAAGGTAAAGAAAGGGTTGGGCTTTGCTCCTCAGATGGTCCACAATTAAGGCAACTCCAGCAGATTCTCAACTCATAAGAAATTCTGAAAAGGCCAGGTCAAAACTTTCATTTTAAATAACAAAACACTCCTAGGGACCACACCCTGAGACTGTAAATGTGATTTCTCTGAGGTTAAAAATGGCAGGCAAATTTAAAAAAGACTTGAGTGCACAATTCGATTCCAGGGATCATAAAAGGGGCAGGGAGAAAAGTTCAAATAGGACAGCTTACATCCTATCTACCCACATCATGAGTCAGTTCACTCAAAGTGCACAGCACCAAGGAGACTGAGGTGTCCTCCCCTCATTCACTCAGACCCAGGGCATGATCCAAATGTGGATTAAGTTCCCAAGGAGTGTACTAACCTTGGACCCCTCGGTTCAGGAGGGAAAGGAGTTAAGTCTGAAGTGTACTAAGTCAGCACTAAAACAGGGTTCCTCAGGACTTTAATGAGAAAAACATGGCCCCAAGGAAAAACAGTAACAGACAGTGTATTAAAACAAAGAGAGCCAGTGTAGGCCAGCTGGCGTCGCTCAGTGGTCGAGCATCGACTGAACTGAGGTCCCAATTCTATTCCCAGTGAGGACACATGCCTGGGTTGTGGGCTCGGCCCCCAGTTTGGGATGTGCAGGATGCAGCCAGTCAATGATTCTCTCTCATCATTGATGTTTCTATCTCTCTCTCCCTCTCCCTTCCTCTCTGAAATCAATGAAGTTTATTAAAAAATAAAAGAGCCAGGGTACAACACAGTAGCTGAGCTGGTGTCGTTGCCTATTGTGAGACAATTTCTCCGACAACCTCTTCCTCCCTTGTCCCCAGCCTGCTTACCATTTTGGGAGGCAGCACTTGCCAGGGCGAGAGCCACGTCAGCAGAGGACACCACCGCGTCCTCGGGGACGTGCATGGCCCCTGCCAGGTCATGCACGTTGAGCAGAGGGTGCAGTTCGGCCACTTTCTTGGGGGAGATGATCTCAGAAGGGATGCCTATCACACTGCCACGGAACACAAGGGGACAATGACATCACCGGCCTCCGACAGAGGGCAGGGCAGTAACGCCAGGACAGGCTTCTAGCCTCACACATACTTCAGCCTGGAGTTGATGCGCTTCAGGGAGATCAGCCGGTCCTGAGTCTGGGCCAGAAAGATGGAGCCTGTCCGTGTATAACCTGTAAGAACAAACACCCGGAATGAGACCAACCAGGACAAATGTGGGGTGGCAAAGAGGCAAGCCCCCGGGATTATAAGTGAGAAGACCTGTGATGAGCCCCGGCACTGCCACCATCCAAACATTCTTAGCTCAGACTTTTGTGAAGATCAAATGAGATTTTAATGCACATGAAATCACTCATAAAATAAAAATTAAAGTTTCCACCACTAAAAAACCCTTGGGGGGTGGGTGGAGTTAACCCAGACTCATATTCTTCACTCTGTTTAGATTTTCTCCCCAGAGTTTTGGTGGCAGGTAACCCCCTAGAATAGTGGTCAGCAAACCGCTCTGTTGACAGTTTGCCGACCACTGGACTGGACTAAATATTTTTTTAAAAATATATTTTATTTATTTTTAACAGAGAGAAAGGGAGAAAGATAGAGAGCTAGAAACATCGATGAGAGAGAAACATCGACCAGTTGCCTCTTGCACACCCCCTACTGGGATGTGCCCGCAACCAAGGTACATGCCCTTGACCGGAATCGATCCTGGGACCTTTCAGTCCGCAGACCGATGCTCTACCACTGAGCCAAACCAGCTTCAATGGACTGGACTAAATATTACCGTGTAGTTGGAAGCTGTGAGGATTAGGCAATTGTGGCATATTGTGTGCAAAGAGGTAAAGGGTAGTATATGACAGTGATCGGCAAACTCATTTATCAACAGAGCGGCAAACCGAGGCTCGCAAGCCGCATGTGGCTCATGAGCCATGGTTTGCCGACCACTGCCCTAGAATACTCAGCCTTGAGCAAGTAAGTGAATGGCTGGAGGTCACTCATCTTGGATGCAGAGCATCCAGGCCAGACAGCTCCTGTTCCAGCTGAGGCCCTGCCTGCAGTAGGGACCCATGTCCTGGCTTCCACGCTGCCTCTGGCAACCTCCTGACAAATCTAAAGGCACCAACAGCCTTCCACAAACTCCTTGTGCCCACTGCAGCCAGAGTCATTTTCTGTTGTTTGAAATCAACATACCAGACTCCACCTTATTACATTTGGGTCAATTAAAAGTCCCCTAAAATGCCATGTATCTTAGTTTTTATGAAGAAAGAGTTGAATCAGTTATCATTTCAAAGGAATTATTAGTGAGAATAATTTATTTTCTTAGTTTCTTTAGAAATCATCATATAAATATACCCTTCACTGACATGACAAGAATGTCTCAGTTTGGAGAACTGAAATTTCAGAAATTGGTGTTTAAATACAGTCTGTTCACCAGAGTAGTCCAATGACTTGTGGCTAACACAGCCTGAATTTCAGACAAAGGGTTCAAAAGTCATTTTCTGCTCACTACCCTAGATTACATATAGCAGAGTACCACTGAATATATATTCCTTTTAACCCACTAAATAATTTTTTTTAAATATTTTTTATTGATTTTTTACAGAGAGGAAGGGAGAGGGATAGAGAGTTAGAAACATCGATGAGAGAGAGTCATCGATCAGCTGCCTCTTGCACACCCCCCATTGGAGATGTGCCCGCAACCAAGATACATGCCCTTGACTGGAATCGAACCCAGGACCCTTCAGTCCACAGGCCAACACTCTATCCACTGAGCCAAACTGGTTTCAGCCCCACTAAATAATTTTTTATAAATGCATTATCACTGACTTGGAAAAACTACTCAACTCCCTGAATCTAGGTCTCTTCAGCTATAAAAGAATGAGCCATATTATAAGATCAATGACTATAGAGAATACTTTTCCAAACATTATAAAAGCTATTATGTTACCTCTTTCATTCACTTGACAAAAGTCACACTGAGATTGAAGCACTGACGACACTAACATCACAGTCGGGGTGAGGACTGGGGGTCATCTGCTGAGTCCGATTAGCAGGTAGTGAACGAACATCTCGAGTAAACGGACTGTTTTCAGAGGAAAAGCAGGTAACATCTTCCCTTAAACCTAGGGGCACGAATGTCACTTCATCCTTATTTCATGACCCAACAGCAGTCCGTGAGTGGAGTGACAGGGCAGGCACCTGCACAGCTTCGGGACAGGAGACCTCTCCTCCTGGGCCCTGTCACCTTTCCCTGCGCCACTGGCAAATGACCCGGGAGTGAGACAGTCTGATCCTCTTCTCGCTCACCTGGCTTCCTCACTGCCCACAAGGACCAAGGAGAAGTCGGGCCTATAGGGGTTCCAGATGGTGATTCAGAAAGCAAGTTAAGCTCCCTCACTTTACAAAAAAGAACATATAGCCGAAACCAGTTTGGCTCAGTGATAGAACATCTGTCTGAGGACTGAAAAGTCCCAGGTTCAATTCCGGTCAGGGGCATGTACATTGGTTGCAGGCACATCCCTGGTGGTGGGGGGAGTGGGTGTAGGAGGCAGCTGGTTGATGCTTCTCTCTCATCGACGTTTCTAGCTCTCTCTCTTCCTTCCTCTCTGTAAAAAATCAATAAAATATATTTTAAAATAAAAAGAACCTATAACCCCAATTCCTGTGCAATCCCACCACCTGAGGGTTGCAAGGCCGGGCAATGCACTAATCTCTGGCCCAGTGGAACGGGGGCCCATTTTGTGGACCTTATTCTGACTCAAACCCAGTTAATATCTGACTCAAGTACCTTGTTGCCATCATTAAACCCAACCAAAGGGACTGCTTCCCAGCTGTCCTGCCTGGAGCAGCATCTTCCCTAGTAAAAGCCAGAGACTGTGCGGCAGCAGGAAGCACTTTCACCAGGAAGCACGTTCCCTGGAGAGCCCTGCCCTTCACAGGAGGCCTGGCCAAGTGCAGTGACACCAGGGGGTCAAGGCGCCAGGGGCACACCGTGTAAGGGGGCACCCACTCAGCGCTGTGACTGCACCGTCACCCCAGGATGCGTACTTGTTTCACCTGTCCTGGCCCTGCCATGTGCCTGAGAATACACAGCCCTTTCTTCCAGGCCGCTGGATCCTCTCCTGGCATCTCTCTCCCTCCACGGCTCCCAATCCTACCTACCAGACAACCAGTCTTCCTCTATAGTTTACTTCATGGCAGTATGAACTATAGAAAATGGAAATGTGATAAACCCTTACTTATGATCAAATATTCAAACCTGCCTTTCCCTAATGAAAATGTTGTCAGCGGTCAACATGATTTCTAAAAGGGCCGGCGAGGTAAACCACACACTGTGCTTAGACTATTGTTGAATAGTCCGCTTCTGAGCACATGGTAGAGCCACTGCAGCTGGCAAAAGACAAAGCTACCACCCTCTGTCAGGATTAGTCTCCAAGGAGCTCCGATTCATTTTGTGCAATGTCTTCAAAAGAGCGGCCCTGGCAAATGCAAGTGTCTGGAATTTCATCACTGGGCCTGGCTACTCACTCAGGATGCCTAGTGCGCTCACCACAGTCTCATCAGCTACCAGAGCAGGCTCCAGGCTGGGCTTCCACTAACCCATCCCCTTACAGCAAACTGATGGCCATTCTTTCTGCCTCTGATCGAAGGGACCAGCGTGTAGATGGGTCTTCCTCTTCCTAGAACAGTTCCTTCACTCCAGTGCTAGCTGGCTTACAACCCGTGTCCTCCCCCCCAATTACACAGGTAAGGAGAGACGTGAGAATGCTGTCGAGTCAGGAACACCCTTACTAGTCACTGGTGTACTTCAATGGGTCAAACTCTGACTTAACTTCCAAGCACCTAATTTAAATTCCTCTTCTTCCTCCTCCTCCACTTACTATCCTTCAACAAGTGAAATATATAGGAAATAGTCCAGGAAAACCTTAATATCACAAGAATTATAGCATCTGAAAAGGATCTGGAATGATGATTGAATCTCATGTTAAATATAGGGAAACAAAGCCTAGCTGGCTTTGCTCAGTGGTTGATCAGTTAACCCATGAACAAAGAGGTCAAGGTTCAAATCCTGGTCTGGGCACAAGCCGAGTTGTGGGTTCAATCACCAGTAGGAAGCGTGCAAAAAGCATCCCATTGATTATTCTCTCTCATCATTGATGTTTCTATCTCTCCCTCTCCCTTCATCTCCGAAATCAAGAAAAGCATTTTTAAAATAAAATAAAGTAAAACTAGGAAAACAAAGACAGCTCAAAAGCAAAATGACTTGCCCAAGGTAATACTCTAACTAGTAGCAGAACCCAAACTACAACTCGGGTCTGAATTACCACTCACCAGGCCAACTCCTGTGGGACCACACACAGTGCCCAGGAAACAGCAGACCCCTGCTTACCTGTTTGGATCCCCGTTTCTTGCTCTAACTGCTGGTACAGTCTGTTTGAATAGTCTGCCATCTTCTGCTCGATGCTCAAGTGCCTGGCAGTGCTTATGATGCCCGCACAGAACCTTGTAGAGCCAGCAGCCAGCCTGCAGGATGGATCCCAAAGGCGGTTAGGTGGACTCATACCTCTGAATGCAGCCAGTTCAAGTCCCAACTACAGCACTGTTCTGCCATATCAAAAGATGGAGACACCTACATACCACTGACATGACACTGATTTCACATTTTGGAGTTCACCTACATGGTGGGATACTATACAGCCAAAAAAATGAATGAGAAAGCTTTTATCCCACAATGTGAAGCAATCCTATTGAGAAAAGCATGGCTAGGAATGCTACCGCTTGTATAAAACAGAGAAGAAATAAATGAATACCCATTTACACCAATATATACTGAAGAACACAGATCTGTGTTCTTCAGTATATATTGAAGAGATATAGTATCTCTTCAACATATACTAGAGAGAGAAAGCGAGAGAGCGAGAGAGAGAATATATAGAGAGGGGATCTGGACAGATTCACCAGAAACTTAACTTGCCTCCAGTGAGAGAAAATTGAAGCCAGAGGTCAGGATTGGGAGAGAGACTTTCCCTGGACACTCTTCTAGAATTTTCTATTCTGACTTATGTCAATGTATTGCCTTTTAAGAAATAAACTTTTTTAAAATGTCCAATTTGTTATAGGCAAAAGAACAACAAAATCCTGAAACAGACAAAGAACTAGGGGTAAAATGAAGAATTAAAAAAAAATTGAAATATTCTATATAATAAAGAGGTAATATGCAAATTGACCATCACTCCAACACACGAGATGGCCACTCCCATGTGGTCAAAGATGGCCACCCCCATGTGGACACAAGATGGACACAAGATAGCTGGCAGGGGAGGGCAGTTGTGGGCAATCAGGCCAGCAGGGGAGGACAGTTGGAGGGGGACACAAGCCTGCAGGGGAGGGCAGTTTGGGGGGGGGAATCAGGACTGCAAGGAAAGGCAATTGGGAGGGACCAGGCCTGAAGGGGAGGACAGTTAGGGAGCACCCAGACCTGCAGGGGAGGGTAGTTGGGGTGGGACCAGGCATATAGGGGAGAGCAGTTGGGTAGGACCAGGCCTACAGGGAGGGCAGTTGGAGGCAACCAGGCCTGCAGGGTGGGGCAGTTAGGGGCAACCAGGCCTGCAGGGTGGGGCAGTTGGGAGGGACCAGGCCTGCAGGGGAGGGCAGTTAGGGGCAATTAGGCTGACAGGAGAGAGCAATTAGGGGCAACCAGGCTGGCAAGGAAGGAAAAGTTAGGGGTGACCAGGCCAGCAGGGGAGGGCAGTTAGGGGCAATCAGGCCAACAGGGGAGCAATTAGACATTGATCAGGCTGGCAGGCAGAAGCAGTTAGGGGCAATCAGGCAGGCAAGCGGTTGGGAGCCAGCAGTCCTGGATTGGAGAGGGTGCAGGCTGGGCTGAGAGACATACACCTACCCACCCCCCATGCATGAATTTTGTGCAGTGGGCCTCTAGTCCTATATAATAAAGAGGTAATATGCAAATTCACCATTACTCTAACACACAAGATGACCACCCCATGTGATCAAAGATGGCTGCCACAAGATGGCCAGCACAGAGGGCAATTGTGAGTGATCAGGCCAGCAGGGGAGGGCAGTTGGGGGACCAGGTCTGCAGGAGAGGGCATTTGGGAGGAAAAGGCCTGCACAGGAGGGCAATTGTGAGTGATCAGGCCAGCAGGGGAGGGCAGTTGGGGGACCAGGCTTGCAGGGGAGGGCATATGGGAGGAAAAAGCCTGCAGGGAAGGGCAGTTGTGGGGGACCAGGCCTGCAGGAGAGGGCAGTTGTGGGGGACCAGGCCTGCAGGGGAGGGCAATTGGGGGGACCAGGCCTGCAGGAGAGGGCAGTTGTGGGGGACCAGGCCTGCAGGGGAGGGCAATTGGGGGGACCAGGCCTGCAGGGGAGGGAGGCTGGGGGCAACTGGGCTGGCAGGGGAGCAGTTAGGTGTCGATCAGGCTGGCAGGGGAGTGGTTAGGGGGTGATCAGGCTGACAGGCAGAAGCAGGCAGGCAGGCAGGCAAGCGGTTGGGAGCCAGCAGTCCTGGATTGTGAGAGGGATGTCCAACTGCCTGTCGGGCATTCCTCGAGAGGTCCCAGATTGGAAGGGTGCAGGCTGGGCTGAAGGAAACCCCCCCAACCCCTCCCCCCACACGAATTTTGTGCACCAGGCCTCTAGTAGTTAATAACGACATATAAATGTTGGGTCGTTTATGAGTTGATATCACTAATATGGGATGTTAATAACAAGTGAAAGTTGGGGGTAAGTTATATGGGAACTCCCTTCTGTATACTCAATTTTTCTATAAATCCTAAATTTTTTCATAATAAGTTACTTAAATGAAAAAACAAAAACAAATAGAGCAGCCTGGACTGTGTGGCTCAGTGGTTGAGTATCAACCTATAAACCAAGAGATCATGGTTCAGTCCCCAATGTGGGGTGTTCAAGAGGCAGCCAATCAATGATTCTCTCATCTCTGATGTTTCTATTTCTCCTTTCCTCTCTAAAGTCAATATATATATATATATATATTTTAAAAACAAACAAACAAAGCAGGATGCAGGCAATTTCAGGCTGAATCCTGGGGGAACTCTTGGCCCCAGGGTTTGTGTTGCTGCCTGACTACTAGTATAAGGAGGAGAACAGATGGCAAGATGTGCTCTGAACATGAATAAACACAGGCTTCAGAGACTTGGTTTGCTGGACTCTGCCAGCTCTCCAAAACCAGGAAACATGAGTTCTAGGCATCAACAAACCAAACCCAGTGCAGGATTTCCACCTGTGAGTTTCTCATGCCCCTAGCAACCCTGATTAGCTAGTGGTGGGACAGCATCGCCCAAGGAAGGAGGAGAGGAAAAGAGGGAATTCATGCCCAGTGGATCCTCACCTGCCCTGCTCCAAAAGAACAATGTCCTTCCACCCCAGCTTGGACAGGTGATAGGCCACAGATGTGCCCATGATCCCCCCGCCACAGATGACCACCTGCGCCTGGGCAGGCAGGGCGACAGAATGCGCCTCGGCCGCTGATGCACCGCTTCTGGCTGAGGACCAGTTCTGCCATCCTCGGCTGGTTCTTTGTCTTTGGACCACCGATAGCAACCGGTAAAACATCACGTCTGTCAGCAATGGGAGGTGTGCGCTCACTCAGTCAGAAGGAGATCCCAAGCACTTGACCTAGACAGAAAAACAAACATTTCATTCCACTGTGCTGAGTGCATACAATTCATGAGAAAAAGATGAATAAAAACCATTGTTCATTTAGCAAATAGGTGAGGACTGAATTCCATACATTGAGCTAACTTGGATTCAGCAATAATAAAGAGGTCCCAGCCTTTAGTAACCTACATCTGAGAGGAAGGGAGTCTGTTTGAGGGTGTACACGAAAGTGGCAACTATAAACAAAGTAAGTCACAAAGAGTAACTAATTTTAATACCGTGATCAGGAAAGAAGGTGACATTGTGAAAGGATGTGACCGATGAAATGGAACCAGCTATCTGAGAGTTCCAATAGATTGAACATGGCCCTCTCTTGGCTTCTGTGATACCTCTGCCTGGTTTTCCAGGAATAGAAATGTGCCTGGCAGGCTGAGGCTGAGTGTGTATGAAGGTGAGGAAACTGTGGCTCAGTGGATCGAACATGGTCCCATGCACCAAGAGGTTGCTGGAACAAGTGTTATCAAAGGCCCTGATGTGAGACAGACCTTGATGGGCTCAAGCACAGAGAGGAAGCCAGCCTGTCCCCAGCGTGAGGAGCAAGGGGGCCAGGATCTAAGAGAAAACTGGAGAGGCAGGCAGAAAGCCACTACACCCCACCCTTGGATGTGGGGATTTTATTCTAAGTGAACAGAAAAATACTAAAGAAGAGAATGAAATGATCTGACCTATTTTCCAAGACCAGCCTGGCTCCATGGTGGCGACTGCACTGCAGAATGAGAGGAAGAGCGGGGCTGGGCTTGGCGCTATAGCAGTATTCCAGGGGGACGTCATGGTGGCTGAGACAAGGAGGGGGCAGCGGAGTCAGAGACATGACTGGACTGTTTGGAAGTAGAAATGGCAGAATTTACTTGCCAACAAACAGAATGTTAACATGCAAAGAGGGAGAACTAAGGACGATGCCTATGTGTCTGGGTTGAGCAACTGGGCCACTTGCTATAGTGTGAGGAGCAGGAAGGAACAGGAAGTGAGCCTGGGAGGCTGAGGGTGAGTGTGTACATGTGTGTGTGTGAGTGTGTGTGTATATAGTTGAATATTCAACTTTTAGAGTTAAGTACAATACACCCATCTGCATCCACGTGGAAACACTAAGTAGCAGCTGGATACACAATCTGAAATGGGAAGGACGCTGGGAGTCATTAGCATATGCACAATGTTGAAAGTCCTAACATTTCGAGCAACAAGCACTCTGAGGCTCCCCTGCATTCAGACTGGGCAGAGATGACGAGACTAGAGACAGGACTGGACGCCGTGGCAGAATCAGTGTACAGAAAAGGCAAGTGGCTAAAGAGACGAAGGAGGAGCGGTTAGTACGGTAGAAGGAAAACCAGGCACAGGTTCCACGAAGTGGCGAACTACAGACAGTGCTGAGCGTGGAGTGGGTGGCGGAGTGTCCACTGGGATGTGACAGCACGGAGGTCCTGATGTCCTCAAGAAGAACATTTCAGGGGAGAGGAAGGGAGGACATACGGACAAGAGCAAACTGAAGATAAGCAAGATGTAGGAGTAGGAACAGCTCCGTTAGTTTGCTCTTATGGGGAGCAGAAAAGCGGGACAGAAGTGAGGGAAGGATGAGGGTAGAGCAAGGTTAGCGGGTTGTTTTTAAGGATGGGAGTTGTTAAGAATATTTCACTGGGACAGCCAGTGTGGCTTAGTGGATTGAACATCATCCCATGCCAAGAGGTCACTGGTTCAATTCCCAATCTGGATATATGCCTTCGTTGTGGGCTCCATCCCCAGTAGGGGGCATGCAGGAGGCAGCTAATCAGTTTCTCTACCACTTATGTTTTTATCTTCTCACCCTCTCCCTTCCACTCTATCTAAAGAAAATCAGTGAAAACATATTTTAAAAATATATATTTCACTGCTATGGAATGACCCAGTACAGGGAAAGAGATGGGTGAGAGAGCAGAGTCAATTAGAAGCCTGAGGTCCTGGAGAAGGAAAAAGAGACAGGGGCGCAGGCCTAAGTGAAGGATGGCCTGCCTTGTGTTTCCACGAGTGATGTAGTACAGATTTAAGGCAGATGTTTCTTCCAGAAAAGCACAGGATGATTAGTCAGGCTGATCAGTTACACACGAGACACTTGTTATAACCAAGCACAACTTTCTACAGACCACTAAATCTAAGTTAGAGAAGGAAGAGTAGTCATATAAGAAGTAGCACTTAAGCTGAGCCTTGAAGGGGTAAGATCTGGACAAAGAGGGACAAGAAGCATACACAATTGTTACAGCCAAGTCCAACACGGGTACTTGTGGATGAGAGTAAGGGACCAGGCCTGGAGGCCTCGGTCTCTGAATGCTGGTAGCAGGGACTGGAGTAAGGTAGACCCAGACCAAATAAGTCTCTGGAAACTTGGTCCAACTTGGTCCACTATACCGTAATGAATTACTACAGG